TATGTTGTTTTAGGTTTTGCAGCAATGACGCATAACACCATCCAGATGGTTCACGACAACTGTTTTCAATCGCAGCAATCGTGAAATTTGGATGCTCCGGATTAGATAGTTTAAAACCCATAACAGTTTTATACAACCGTTGATTTGATTTATCCAAATCTTCAACTGCCACCATGTTTTTATTAGAATCAGTTGCTGGTTGGTCATCTATCAGTTGTTCTTCAGAAACAAATATCGGCGGGTTATCTTCCATAGGACGTTTATATATTTGATGACATAAATTAAGTTCTTCACTACTTTCATCTTCATCTTTATCCAATAGGAACTTTGAATACGAATATTTCAATTTCGTTAAATACTTTTTGTCATCATTATCCGTCATATGAACACTAAATAATGTACATTCATTTCTCATTTCACCTTGACCATATTTAACCAAGAAATTCTTAAAATCTATGCTGAGCCAATACTTGTATCGACTTGGCTGTACTAGTTGTAAAATACGATCACGAGCCGTACTTTCCTTTAATAATGTTTGACGATCGTTAACAATCTTTCGAAGAGTAAGGNGTCAATGGATAACATAAGCCAATATCGATTTTTCTTATACCCAAACTTCCTTTTATTTGTTAATAATAGGTGAAATGGCACAGACTGATGTACTTGTACAATTTCTAATGTTATTCCTTTACACTTTGTTCTTGTTGCTGCAGTTATTGGATGCATGCAACTATCTGTTTCCCAAAACGCAGTGGTGAATATATTATCATCGCTGTTGACTGTGGAAATATGGAGGACAAAGAAAGCTACTAGGCTTATAGAATACATGGTTTTCTCTTATAAGAACATTAACAGTAACTTTTCCAACCACAATAAGTAAAGAGAGGAAAGTACCGTGTAAGGGACGAGTGCTTTTTATGTTCTACTAACAGATAAAATATGGAAAATATATAAATATACAATCTATTCATGTCGTTGGTGGTAACCTGTAACGAGAAAAAACGTTTTGTTTCACCAACTATCAGTGTTTATTAATCCTCCTTCACAATAACTTTTCTCTAACTGCCGAGTACCAACAATGACATTAATATAACACATCATAATTATGTTTTTCTGTCATATATCATCGAAGAATTATTTATTCTCATCATAAAGAACACCCGCTGCTTCTTTTTGATATATCCTCGTGGAAAAACATAGTTGCACACAGTATTTTTAAGATATTTTCCTTACAAAAATATACTTTTACAAAAAGGATCACATATTCTGATAGCGCTTGGGATTCACTACAATTCTGTGTATTTAAATCTGGTCTTGCATTTATTTGCTGAAAAATACATTGAGTGCAATGACGACCCCCTCATCGTCAGATTCCCAGAAATTGTAATGAGTATGGTGGCATCTCAATATTTTGTATTTTTCTCGTGTTTCTTGAGGACCCAAAGGTTAGTGTTTTTTTAAAACGATGCACCGCGAAATGCTCTACGAAACCATTCCTAACCTTTAATTTTAGAGCTTCAATTAAGAAAACTACGCAGATTATACGAAAGACGAAAAAAATAAAAACTTTGAAAATCTGTTATTCTTTTCCACCTAAACCTTTTTCTTTTGCTACTATTTCCGTAGGGTTGCAAAAGTGAGAAGTCAGTTCTTTTTGTACTTCTGAATGTACTCTTTCTCGTGAACTGTAAAAAAGTCCTTTAGAACAGATGGTGTGGAAAAAACTAAAAAGTAGCGAAAAAATGCACCTTTTTGGTACTTGTCAATTGGGGGTACCTTCGCTGTACTCAAATTATTTTTCAGCAAATAAATGTAAGACAAGACATAAATATATAGGATGATAGAGAATTTCAGGCGCTATCAGAATATATAATTACTTTTATAAAAAGCAATTTCTATAGTGATGATAAATTGAAAAAGCAAGTTAAAGAAATAGTAACAAAATGCAGTCCGTGGGAATCTGACAATGCGGGGACCGTCATTGCACTCAATTTGTTTTTCAGCAAATAAATGCAAGACAAGGTATAAATATACAGAATTGTAGAGAATTCCAAGCGCTATCAGAATATGGGGTCACTTTTGTAAAAGTATGCTTTCGTAAGGAAAATATCTTAAAAATACTGTGTGCACCTATTTTTTTCCAGGAGGATATTTCCCATATTTTATCTGTCAGCAGAACATGAAAAACACTCGTCTCTTACACGATACTTTCCTCTCTTTACTTATTCTGGTCGGAAGGGTTAGTATCTTTTTATAAGATAACCGTGTATTCTATACGTGGTTTGAACTGTTCAAACCGTTTTTAAAAGAGTGCGATCCTTATTAAACGCATTCCCCAAGAACGGGTTCTTATCGGTTAGAAACGCATTCAATGACAACTAGTTTGTGTTGACAAGGAAAGCCTTCATCTTGTGACAAATGGCACAAAAAGATGAAGAAAATGTGCGTCATCTTTTTCTTCCTTATCTTCATCATCTTTATCTACATCATCTCTATCTTTCTCGTCCCGTAGTCACCGTATATTCATTCCAAACCGTTATTGTTCCTTTTAGCGAACAAGGAGGGGTGCGGAATAATTTCCGCTTGCCCGAGTGTGTCTGTTCTTACTTAAAAGTAATTGTTGTATGGAAAGAAGTTTTATTTCTACTTCTATTTGGAATGATGATTCATCGAAGACATCAAAAAAGAGAGAAATATAGAAAAAATATTCTTTTCATTTTCTCGCATGAGCAGATTTATCTTGCTTGCAGAGTTCTGTATGTCACATAAGATAAAGCACTAAATGGTAGAGCTTTCATGTAAGAAAAAAAAATAAAATAAAATTACGCTTGGCATGTACAAAGAAAAACAAACGTGCAGTATGATTAACAACTGTTACATCTATTAGTAAGAGATTTTTTTCTTCGAATGATTAATAAGAATAACGATGAAAGAATTTCACGTTTAATAACAAAATGTCCTATTACGCAACTACCAATCAGACAATCAGCTGACAATTAGCTGAAGATGGTTTTATTTATGAACGTTATGTTATATGAAAATGACTTAAACAACATAATGGTACAAGTCCAATGATACGTCAATCAATTAAAATTTAAAATTTAAAAACTGTCATTGAATTTTATAATGAGAACGATGGTTTATTATATATAACAAAACAAGACCATCGAGCAGGCTAATAGTCAGGACGCAATGCAGGTAACTCTACAGTCTAAGAGAGATGATACGCGCCGTTTTTGGAAAGTGAATATGAAAAGTGAATCTAAAAGGTTATACCTTCAACAGAGGAAATTCCCATACCTCCTCGGATAAAGCCTTTACAAATACGAAAGTTTATAATGAGGTAGTCCAGAATAATTTTACTGAACATAATTTTATTTTAGTTAATATTCTCCAGAATAAGGCTGTGAGATATAGTTTATTCAAAAGTGAAAAGAAGAAAGACTTATTTCTTAAAATACGGACATGCTGTTAGAAGACGATAAGCAGCGAACAACTCCTGACGCTGAATATAATAGAATAGAAAACATATTTCACCAGTCCTTCAAATGTGCAAAAGGACACAAACAAGAAAATCAGTTTAGACTCCCAAAAAATATCATACCACTGAAAAGACGCAAAAATAAAATGCATAAGAACAAGAATCGGGATCTATCGAAGTAATCAGAAAATTTATCAAAACTCCATTTAAAAGATTTAAAATAGTGGGAGTCTGCTCTTGAACACGAATAAAAGCTTTACAGTTCGAGAGAAGTTTTTAATTACAGCTTGTTTAGTAAATAATGAGACTAATTTAAAAACTGTTGAAAACTGCAATGAACAGTTAGAAAAATTCCGAGTGCTAGGTGATAGATATAAAAAGCAAGTGTAATGTCATCAAGAAGAAGAAACGAAACAACTATTCAAGTAAATTTAGAAGAGGTGCAACTTCTAATATGGAATTTAAAAAATAGAAAATTCGCAGGTTATAGCCGAATAAAAAATGAGATGATTAAGATGTCAACACTCGCGATGAAGAATAGAATTTTGTATCTTAAGACCAATAATCCAAAAGACGTATGACTCCGTAGACCGTCGAATTCTTTGCAAGAAATTAGACGCAAACGGAATAAGCCGCCAGCTGCAGAGAATTGTGGTGTCACTTTTGGAGGGAAATAAATGCAATGTCAGAGTTAATAAGTTTAGAAGTAGGACAAAAGAGCTGATTCGAGGGCTTCCCAAAGGGTCAGTTCTGAGTCGAATGCTTTTTAACTTATTTATCGATGTCATTGTTAAATTACTACCTGAAAATTCTCCATAAGATACTACTATATGCAGACGATATCTTATTGTTTAGTTATGGGAATGAGCCACCGCAGGTACTCATCAAAAGAGTAGAACTTCATGCTAAGGAAAACAGGTACGAATTTAATTCAGATAAATGTTTTTACCTTACTAGTAAAGAGAATTATGTAAGGTAGAAAATAATATTATTAAAATATTTAGGATATTTCTACAATAACAAAGGCTTTGATAGCCTAGCAACTATAGGTAACGGACGGAAAAGTGTGACTTATAAATCTGTTATTGTTAGAACAGGCCTAGAGAAAATTTTCAGGTCGTCTTACAATCCCAAATTAGCTTTAGAAATGTACAAAGCATTTATTAGGCCGACCATTGACTATTACATCGGGATCTTGGGAAATGCAAAGTCTATAATAGAAAAGATCGAAGTATTACAAAAAAAGTCATTGAAGTATTTATTCCGGCTACCAAAAAGGATGCCAACTACTCTGATGCACGGAATTCTGCCGGTTGAAAAGGTAGAACTAAGAGCGAGAATACGAACAGTTAGTATTTATAGAACGCTAATGAATGGTTCTTCTAGCAATGCAAAAGAATGTCTTGCTGATGCCAGGACAAAAATTGTGAAGTATATGAGAGAAACAGATGAGGATTTAAGTTTAAAAAATTTAAATGATATAAAAACATCAGTGGAAATTTTCGGGAATTGTGGTCTGAAATATGACTTATAGAAAATTAAAAACTTTAAGAAATGGAGATTATTAGTTAATAAAGTTTCCGATCCAGGAAACTTTGAGAGTATGGATGCAAGGAAAGATCACCCCGAGATTGTTATTTTTGTTGAAGAGTTTGATAGAATTTATTACTAGTTTAAAACCAAGTTTATGAATATTATGCCGCCGCAAAGAATTATTGTATAGCCGAACGATGCTACACAATACAATATTATTAGATATCTAAAGGATTTAGAATGAGCGCCTTTAGTGCCAGATTTTCGAAAAGAGAGTCCCTCTCAGTATCTTGACTGTTGAAGAATACTATAAAATCAAGTGCTGATAATGGTACGCGGGCCTTTTTTTATATGTGCATATAAAAAAAGAATTAATTATGTTATGTTGTGATTTCTCTTCTTCGCTCTGCGTTATCACGTAGGGAAAAAAGAAAGAAGTTTTGTTTTTCAATTCTTGTACACTTAGTTTTGTAACGTTTTGAAAATAACCGGTTAAAGGTCGAAATATCAACTAAATAAAATGAAGTTTAAAACAGCTGCAATTATAATCAAACTTTTGATAAGTAAGTCGTTTCCCTCAAACACTATACATGAAAAACGCCTAACTCTGCTACCGGAGTGTTTGTGCGTTACCGGTTTTTCTCTTTTCGTCTGTCCTATAATATTTGGAAGGAATATCGTAGAATCCTGGAAAGCGTCTTGTTTTGTAGAATGAAGTGCGTTCTTCAAAATCCACTACTAGCTCAATTCGAAATAATTGACGACTTTTCGGTTACAATCGAAATACTAAAAGCCCTAAGACCAAACGACAGTGTTTTTGGGGCTCTTCGTACTTTAAATATAGCATAAACAGCGTTAGTTATTTCGAATTGAGCTGGTGGTCGATTTTGAAGAGCGCACTTCATTCTACAAAACAAGACGCTTTCCAGGATTCTACGATATTCCTTCCAAATATTATAGGATAGACGAAAAGAGAAAAACCGGTAACGCACAGACACTCCGGTAGCAGGGTTAGGCGTTTTTCATGTATACATGCAACATAAAAAATTGTATATTTTTGCTCTATCACACGTTGTCCATGTTTGTAGATTCCAGTACTAACCTAAAGAGAAGAGAGAGGTATTGGGTTACGCTTCCCTATATCGGAGCCCTGCAGGTTGTCGGTATTTGGCAACCTATAACCTAACCTATAGGTTAGGTTAGGATCAACCTGTAGGGCTCTGCCCTAGATAGAGAAAGTTCCATACCGTTTAAGGTTTGGGTATTGAAACGATGTAATTAAAATATTGAATGGCTTTTTTTACACGAAAATCTGGTTTAATGAATCGTTCTAGCAAAAGAGATGTTATTTTTAAAGTCTAGAATAAACAATAAATAAATCATGGAGAAGAGATAATTGAATTAACCGTCAGTCGACATATAAGCGACCGACACTTGAGCGACCCGACATATGAGCAACCGACATTACCGCGAACACGACTCAGCTCTTCCACGAATGTTTCGTAGTACAAATTTGGGTATTTTTGACAGTCTGTCGTGGGAGATGGAGGTGTGGGCAATGTGAGCGTGAGTTCGAAAAGTAGTTTCGCATAAAACATAACTTTCATGATGCGAAACTGTACATGTCTAACTGGACCGTATACTGACTATTTACTAGATAACTTCTCTCAGGTTTCATGTCGTTCGTGGAAATGTCAGGCTCGCTCGAATGTTGGTTGCTGAAATATCGGTGCTCAAATGGCGATCCGTCAAACGTCGGTTAAACGTGTTGTTCTAATGCTTGTACTCCGTTAGCGAAACTTTTGAAAAACAGCCTATAGGAGTAGAGTAGTTTTACACCAAAAACAGTACGAAGTGCGAAACCGTAATAGAAAGCCATGGCCTTCTATTCTACTTTCCTTCTAGAACAAATTTTCATTTTTTTATTCACCGTTACACAATCTAGAGCTGAACTGTATTCTTTCTGTTTATAAATATAAGTTACACATATAGAATGGTGTGGGGAGAATCAGGAACAATTTCGCGATCATGCCAGTATTCGTTGAATACCTTTTTTAATCTTAGAGATCCTTTTGTGTGCGTTGGCAGTCATATAGACAAGAAAATGCTTCAAAGTATCGGACTTCCGGTGGTTTTCCTGATTCGCCCCGCCTGGAGTGATTCAAGAAAACATATAGCTCTGAGTGGGGTGAATCAAGAACACTCGTTAAAATAAACCGTATTTTTTAACTTTTGTAAATCCAATTATCTTAGGGATAATTAGTACTAATTGAGTAGATTTCCACACCACTGGACCCCTTATCGTCTCAGGAACACGTTGAAAGCAAATTCCGAATTGTTCGATAAGAGCTGACTGAGATCCGTTTTGACGGTTTAAACTAGAGTAATAAAATAATATTCTTGATTCACCTCAAGTGGGGCGTTTCAAGAACCATGTAGACAGCCATGGGATGAATCAAGAATTCTGGTATAAATGAACGCGAAAAACGTCTACATCTAGAAAGCCAATTCTCAAAGTCGTTTACGAACAAAAAATGAAAAGGCTTTTGCCAGGAAAACAGATAACACTAGGAAACAGATCGGTAGGCAATTATTGATGACGTTTTCGAGACAGACGATTTTAAAGCAGAAACAACAGATGTAGTAGTTATTAACGAACTATTGGTTTGATCAATTAGTGAAGCATCCATTGATAATGAAGTAGAAGAGGCTGACGATATGGATGATTGAATGGTTTTGTCATCTACAATGACCGAAAGTCTAACACAGGTCTGAAGTCAAAGTACTAACTTACCTAGAGTGCAACTGAGGGTTGGAGCTGATGGAGATCTTCTTAACCGACGATATCCAATTACATTATTGTTTATCATTCGCCTATCATCTGTTATTTCTTCTATTTGATCCTCAACTGCAACAGGTACTAGATATTCAGTCGACAATGCCCTTGTTAAATTCGATCGACTATTCAATGATGATGATAGCGTTGAATACGACATTTTTTCTCGAGGTATAGCCCGTTTGTCATAACGGAAGACACCGGCCTTAGTAAATCCGCCGGCACAATATGTTGGACGTAATGCATTTGTGTACAACTTCTTGAACAACAACGGAAACACCGATTTGTCGACTTTGTCAGCATTTGTTTTAAGATAATATTGCCGCAGTATTTTTCTCCATTCTGTTTTAACGATTTTGAGAGTATAAACATCTAGTGATTGCAATTGAGATGTGGTATGTGGAGGCAGACCAAGAGTATGTACCTCATTATCGAGCGCCAGTTTCATTATTCTGGACGATAAATGTGAGTGGTGATTATCCATTATCAACAACAAAGGGCGTTTGATATTTTTTGTCTGTTTTAGAAACTGTTTAGGAAACCAGGTACAGAATACTGGCTCTTCCATCCAGCCCGATCCGCTTGTATCATACATTGTACCAGGATAATTATTCTTAGGTAACCAGGTATTGTATAATCTTTCCGCTTTGTGCGCAATGTACGGCGGCAAACATCTGCCACACAGAAAAAAGAGAATTATTATGTGTTTATCCTGCACATATCAGTTTTTTTCATACCTGTCGCTAGCTGAAGTAGTCAGAAAAACTGTTGTCTGACTTTTGCCACTCCCGGCATGAACATCTATTGGATATTGTGTTTCTCGCCTAACAACAACTGACTTTTTGTCTGGGTCATCTGAGAATCCACTTTCATCACAGTTAAATACGTTTGTCGGTTTATCGAATAAACCGAGTTTTTTTAACATTATATACAACTTGTTAAGCCAACTATCGAGCACTTGAACGGGCAATGCATCATTGCGTGCTTTTTCAAGTTTCATACTTTTCATTATCTTTGACTCGGATGACCATCTCCTCATAAAACCCTTAAAACCAATCTTTACCTGGACCATTATCTAGAATATCTTTCTTTAATTCTGGCATATACCACCAAGCTATTGTACATACATTTGAATTTGATACAGGATGATTATAATCTTGCATTCTTTTTATCACATAAACCAGATGAGACTCTTCTTCTTTACTGAAAATTGTTGTGCCACCACGTGGACTAGAGCCATTGTGTCCTGATAGACGATCGTATAATGTACTAATCGGTACCTTATATTTCGCTGATGCTTCACTAATAGTCATTTTATCATCTTTAATTGATTTAATAGCTTCGCCAATGTCTACGTTTGAATAAGTTTGAACTCTTTTTCTTACATAATTACGAACCATTTCAATGCAGACTAATCTGAGATAAATTAA